TACTTATTAAGAATGCTCAGCAGACGTACCACCCACCATTTCCATACCTTAGGTGGACCCCCCACCCAGTAATAGTGACTATAAGGGATAATAGGGATCATATTAGGGTCCTCTTATACTCTTATTATACCACTATTACAGGGTGGGAGGTCCTCCTAAATAATGACCGTTTTCTGATGATTCAAGCCGCTGTGGACTGTCCCTAGGGCTCCAAATAGCCCAATGTAAATAATATTTATGCAACTTTTGGCCCAATGGCCTTCGAACCCTCCGAGTGGCACTTAGGACCCCTACTAAGGGTTAACCCTTATAGGTGCTTATAATAGGAATATAAGAGAATCCCAAAGGGTAAGGGTCTAAGGTCCAAGCTAAGTCCCAAGGAGTAAAGCCTTAAACCCTAAACCCTATATAACCCCATTGTAATAGTTCCCATTTTATTTTCCATTACCTCCATATATTTCGAAACATCAACCAAGCATCATACCAGGCTCCTGCATCCCGGCGGTCAGCTGTAGCCGGAAGACTTCGGACCTTGCCGGCGGAGGGTGTAGGGTTTAGGCTTGACTCTTTTCCCCAATAAGCAGGGCTAAATAACTTTAAACTCTATTATAGAGACCCAAGAAGGAAGCCCAAAAAGGTTAATGTTCTTCTATTGGCTAAGTAAGAGGTAAACATCCAAGGCTACGGGTTTTTCTCTTTTTAATGGGATCTTTTCAAGGCTAAGATTTATAGGACTTAGGGTTTAGGGTGGGGATGCCAATAGTAAAACACACACAGGCTAAGGTTTAGGAAACAGAGTTTAGGGTGTGGATGCTCAAAAGGCAAAAGCCACCCAAGGATAAGGTATAGGACTTAGGGTGTAGGGAAGGCTTGGGGTTTGGGGTCTAAGACTAGGCTGGGCTTGGGTTGAAGGTTTACGGTTTAGGGCTTGCTTATGTTTAGGGCGTTTATCTCTCGGGGTGGGCATAAGTTTTTTTTTGGGGGGGGGTAGGGGGGGGGGCTTGGGCTTTGAGCTCAGAGATCTTAAGGTATTGTGGACGCCCAATAAAGGAATGGAATAGGCTCGGTTGGGGGACATCTTGAACTGCAGTTCTAGAAGAGTCACAAGTGGCTCAGCGTCTCTCATTTTCTGAGGCTTCTTACATCACTTGATATGTCATACCGGCATTTGTCAGCTATGCTTTCTGCAGAATACACTACTCTCCTCCACTACAGCTACGCATATTCCTCGGATGTATATGGCCACTACCTCTGGAATGATCCTTGGGCAGTACGTGGTGTTTGTTGCCAGGTGTGGGGGTTTTGGGTACCCACACTGATCGGCCTGGCGCACAAGACTTGCGAGTGCGCGTTGATGACCTCATCCTGCACCACAAACTGAACCTGAGTCTTCAGGGCGGAGGGTCTAGGGTTCGGCACTTCAACCTGGTGAACACATAGTGAAACTGGCTTGCAACAATTCCTTTCCTCTTTATAGAAAACCAATATTATAAGCCCTGTCCAAACGAGGTAGTGGAAACAATGCTAGACCTACTTTCATTCAGGCTATCCACAGCTAACAGCTTAGAACATAACAAGCCAGAAGCTCAGAACCACCGGAAACCTCATTCATGATTTGGATAAGACTGGAAGTTATGATGTTTCATTGCCTCTTGGGTTTGAGTATGACATAAATCAGAAGTCGCATGTTCAACCCTAGACTCAAAGCATATCCAAGAATAAGCCCAGAAACATCGCTGAAGTTTCCACTCTCCAGGAAGGCCTGCATGTCCTGGGTTGCTGTTAAGGAACTTAAATCAAGTTACTATATTGGGGAAACCCTATTATTTACTATATATACCCATTATGGTAACTTGATTTAACCCTAAACCCTAAACCCATTATGGTAACTTAATTTAAGTTCCTTAACAGCAACCCAGTGTCAGAACTCATGCTGGTCCCCTGCAGTTCCCCAGTTGGGTACCTCGGGATCGTCACCTCCAGTCCACGGTTTATGTTTTAGGGTTTAGGGTTTAGCTCCAGTCTGGCTTCGGTTTTTAGAACAAGGGAATATATTGTGTACTGTAATCTAAGGTCCTTTAAGGGGAGTTACATAGGGGATTAAATAGGGGATTATCATAGGGGATACTAAGAATTTAGACCATGGCTCATATAGTGATCATGAAGGGCATTATGTAGGGTTTGGGGTTTGGGATTTAAGGCGAATTGGAGGGTGTACGCCCTAAACCCCAAACCCTAAGCCCTACAATGCGCCAGGCAGAACCATCTCATAAGTGCATCGTTTAGGGGTTAAGGGTTTAGGGTCAAATAAGCAAACGGTTTAAAGCTTCTCTGTCTGTGGGATATCGCTACTACAGTTGAAACACACAATCCTGCATGAGCCGAAGTACCTGATGCCCTGGAAATTATGATGGTTTTGCTTATGAAGGTCATGCAGAATGCTTAATAGTTACCGCACATCAATATAAATACTACTGCCGTCAGTGCTGAATTACCACTAGCATGACAAGAGAATCAGCTCCCGCTAGTATTTTAAGCCCCCGCCAGCTCCGATATCAGCCACTCCCATTGTGGTCTGGTATACTATAGACCCACGACTTAAGCCCGAAACTCAGCACTAGGAGTTGTGGGGATGAAAAAACAGGGGGGAGGATATCAATATTTACATTGGCAACGAAGGAATGCTTTCTAATTTTGTCTCCAGGCACAGGAGGCTGGCCGGAACGCACGTCCAGCACGCATTTCATCGTGAGCTCATCACCCACCACAAACTCTGACCTAGGGCCTACGGTTTAGGGCAGAGCTCTTGCTGGATAACAAGAAAACGTAAAGCGCATGGTGCTCAGGATGATAAACCCTAAGGGTCCAAGGACCCAAATAATAGGGCTCTAGGGCACAAATACCATAAATGATATAGCATTTGGGCCCTAAAGCCCTATTTTTTGGGTCCCTGGACCCTTAGGGAAGAGGAGAATGCATGCTTTGAGGGCCCATGGTTGGTTAAACTTCTGTCCCACTATCCCACTTGTGGTTCCAAGTGCCCCGCCCCCGGTACATATGGCCCCAGACCTTTAAACCGTATCCCCCCCGCACCCCATACACCCTGCACACCCTAGACAAGCCCCTACGCCCCTAAACCCTATACTCCCCTTAACTAGATAGAATATGGGGTATATGGGAATCTCATTATACTCAAAGCCATACTCGATCTACGTAAGGGGGACCCTAAACCCTAGACCTCAAATAGCAGTTTCCATTTTCTTTTCCATTATCTCAATACAACATGGGAATCTACTTCAGGGGGGCTATAACCCTACACCCTAGACCCTAAACCCTATAATCGATCTAGTGAAGGGGGGCTATAGCCCTACACCCTAGACCCTAAACCCTATAATCGATCTACTTAGGGGGGACCCTCAATCCTGAGCCCGGGAAACTCTGGAGAGATCAGCTCTTCGTGCGAAAGACCAAAGATGCCCAATGTTGGCCTCAGCTTCCCAAGGATGTAAGGTTTAGGGTTTAGGGTGCCTTTAGGTTTAGGGTTTAGGGTGCGTTTAGGGTTTAGGGTTTATGCAAGACGTCATGCGGACATGATCCGATTCGAGTCTGCGACGACTCCTGAAGCATTTGCATTAGGAATCCTTAGAAAGAACTTACAGAATCTCAGGATCAGAGCCGAGATTTGTATGTCAGGAACTCTCCATGCACTTCACGCTCTGGGAAAACGTCAGTTTCCAAAGTGTTGGAGAATCCTGAAAAGGACTTTGTGGAAGCTTTAGCAAAGGAAATGCCGGAAATGAACGGAAGAGGTCTGAACAAAGGAGATTGATTCGTGTAGGGTTTAGGGTTCAGGGTGCGTTTAGGGTTTAGGGTTTTATGATTTCGCTTCCGTTTAAGGGAATAACTACTTAGAGCTGGAGTTATATATAGAATCTAGATCCGATTACATGGACTCTGAGTAGGGGGTTGCAGCCCAAGTATAACTAGTTATACAGCAAGGGGTGGTAAAATCGGGGTATGAAATCCGACGCCCTCCAATCCTAACCACTGGAACCCAAATCCCTAAACCCTAAACCCAAAACCCAGTGGCGGCGACTCTGGGCGGAAGCCCTCCCAATGCACGTCTGGACCGAATACCTGGATGTGGGGTTTAGGGTTTAGGGTTTAGGGTTTAGGTTGAGGTTTAGAGTCCACGAGTCCACGTTGAGTAGATAAGAATATGGCTTTGGGTATATTATAGTAAGATCCCCATATACCCAATATTCTATCGACTTAATAGGGACTATAGGGCTTCGGGCTTAGCTTTTAGGGTTAGGCTCCAGGGACCCCGATATCAGTCTAAGGTACATGCCATAATACCTTAGTGGAGGTATGTTGGGCTCTCCGGGTAGATTTTATCGGTATTCTGGTATCTGCGGGCGAGCTACTACATTCTCTACGCCTGAGGGTTGCGAACTTAAGGCTTCTTGTTCAGAGCTTAGGGTGTGGAATTACCCTAAGCCCTAAACCCTAAATCCTAAAAAATAAACCCCGTCAAGGCGTGCGCCGCTACCAAGTAGGGGCGTAAAGTCGCTAAATTGCTTTGCCTTTGACAACCCTTAAGGCTTGGAGAGAGAGGTAAATGGCATCCCCTCTTACTGTAGACTGCTTGAGATTGGAGTTCGGTGTTTGGGGTCTAGGGCTTAAGGTGTAGGGCTTAGGATTACGGTTTTAGGGTGTAACGCTTCTTGTTTAGGGTTTCGTATTTAGGGGTTATATTTGGAGGTGCCTGAGACTCAGTCACTTACTTATAATCCCCTTACTGGACTTTTATAGGTTGTCCTGACTGTATGTAGCCAGTGAGAAGCACGTCCTCCTAAGTCCCATGGACCTCTAAGTAGGGTTTAGGGCCTACTAAATCCTATCCCTTAGCCCCGCTTTAGACCAAAGCACTTTCAGTAAAGCCATATAGACAAAGAGAAGCCTTAAGACACAATTTTTAGATCCGAAGCCCTGTTCTTAAAACCCTAATCCCTAAACCTCAAACTTTCCCCAACCCTAAACCCTAACCCCTGAACTGTAAACCCTTACTCCTTAAATCCTGAACCATAAACCCTTAATCCAAAAGTGACATCAAGGAGCAACCTCTGGCCAGCCGCTCTGGGGGTCATAGCGGTTGCGACTTGTGGGTCCCCACTGCACCCAGCTTCCATCATGGGCTTTGATGTAAATGCCTGAGATCTTTTGTTGTTTTGGTTTCTGTGGTCTTTAGGGCTTAGTCTTTTTTAGCTGAAGAGTTTAGGGATGGAGGCTAAGGGAGTTCGAGTTTAGGGTCAAAGGATGAATCTAGCTAAGGGCCCTGATGTAGATACCTGAGTGCGTTTGAAGGGTGTGGCAAGGGCCTGGGATTTATAGGTTTGTAGGGCTTGAGGTTTGTAGGGCTTAAGACTCAGAATTCAGGGTTTGGAGGTCTTAAGTTTCACGTTGACAGGAGATTCGGAATTACTTGGGAGAAACTACCCCAAACAACTCCTCAAAATCAGCGTTACCATTCAAGTGGGGTTCCACGCTAAGGGCTTGTTCCCGGAGCCCCAAGAACAAGGAGCATGCTACATCAACATTTCTTAACAACATCCAATATAAGCTATAGTCGTATCCCCCTAACAAGCCCTTGAATAGGAACCCCATATAGTCCCCTATATTACCCGCTTCAAGGAATTTAGACCCTGAACCCTATATAACCGCCCTTTAAGGAGTTTAGCCCTAAACCCAATACAACCCCCCTTAGTGGAGTTTAGACCCTAAACCCTAAACCCTCTATAAACCCTGTTTTAAGGAGTTTAGACCCTACAGCTCGTATAGGAAACCCTAAACCCTTAACCCTTAACCTCATATAGGAAACATGCACCCGGGTGCTGTACTGAAGGGAGATCTGCCTGGCCGTGTCCGGTCTGTGGTGAATTGCCAGGGACCCACACTGACCACCTGTGTGTAGGGTTTGGGGGTTTAGGGTTTAGAGGGTTTAGGGTTTAGAGGGTTTAGCGTTAAGGGGTTTAGGGTTTAGGGAAAAATGCAGGAATTAAGTATTGGACTTAGTCCGGACTTTTAGTGTCCATGGATGCTGCGAACTGAGAGTTAGAGTTAAGCTAAGCTACTAGCAGCATTAGATATTTAGGAATGCCCTACACTCTCCGAGCGCCCAACTCCCCCCGCCGTGCCCGCAACATCATACTAGGCACCGGGGAGTGACTAGGGCGACTAGGGTGTAGGGTTTTTGCCCGAGGCTTTTCGAGTTTTGGGTTCATCAAAATTCCTGGACCTTTCAGGTTTATGTGAATCTTTTGCAATTATTCCCCAACCTGAAAACACGTTGCAAAAAAACTGACTCGCGTGGGGCGGCTACGGTATGTAGCCCCTACTATGCCTGAACCCTACACCCTCCAGTTGAGTTAACAGTTACAACTACTTAGAGTTTAGGGTTTAGGGTCTAGGGTACGACTTCTCAATTACACAGTTTCTTAGTTGGTCTCGAAATTTTCCAAATGTTGAACTAGAAAAAAAGCCACCAAACCCTAAGTTATTGTAATATGCCCAATTCTAAGGGCCCAAGAAAAGCATCTTGATATCTGCCTGCCAGCCACAAACCCAGAAGCCTGAGCAAAGGTCTAAACCGCAACCCCTGAACCCTACACACCAAACCCCCAACCCTAAACCCAAACTCCTAACCCTAAACCTATTTTGTAGCGCGAACTAACAGGTCTCCCAAAAATACACCTCCAAAGAATACAGATTCCCATTATTACCAAACAATATAGGCTTATTATCAAACTAGATCATATACATTCGGTACTGCCCCCACCCAGTAACAGTCTATATAGGGGTCATATTAAGGGCTATATATAACCATATTATATCTATTATCCAACTGTTACTGAGGGGGGCAATACCCAACATATACAGATATTTGCGACGGCTAGGGCTCTGGGGCGTGAGCATCATTAGAGGATGTGATCATGTTGAAGCCCTTGAAATACACCCAAACTAGCCCAAATCCCCAAGACTCTGTACCCTAAACTGAACCCTGAACCCCAAACCCTAAAGCCTAAACCCTGAACCCCAAACCCTAAAGCCTAAACCCTGAATCCAAGGCCTGGACAATGTCTGTTTGCAACCCCCCTTTGTGAAGAATGCTCTCCAATCCGCTGTGGAAGGGTTTAGGGTTGGGTTTAGGGGTTTAGGGTTTAGGGTTAGGGTTCAAAGGTTAAAGGTTTAGGGTTTAGGGTTTAGGGTTCAAAGGTTAAAGGTTTAGGGTTTAGGCTTATACACATGCATGCGTACATATGGGTATGTGAATACATATACTAACTATACATGTAGACATATATATATATATGTACGTATGTTTGGCCTATTGGTTCATATGTAGCAGAATTTCTCCCAATCAAGATCCAGAACCTTGATATCTTCTTCTGACCGCCCCCAAAAACATAAAACCCGCAAGACGAGTACACTTACAATTCCTCCTAAACCCTAAACTTTAAGCCTAAACCTCAGAATGAGAAAAACATAAGGGCCCCCAACAACCCTCTTGTTGAAATTGTAATATCCCCAAACCCAGAACGCTGAGTCGCAAACCCTAATGCCTAGGCTCTACGCCCTAAGCCCTGACTCCTAACCTCTGAACTCCTAAGCCTTGAGCCCTCAATTCTTAAGCCCTATACACTAAGCTCTAACCCCCCAAAGCAATCAGCAACAATTCGTAAACCCTAATCCCTAATCTGTAAAACCTAAATCCGTAAACTCCACAGGCTAAAATCCCTAGACACTCCAGTCGTCCTGAAGAAGATAGAATATGGCTTTGTGTATATTACAAAAAGATCCCCATATATCCCATAGTCTATCCACTTAACGGGGGCTAAACCCTAAACCCACAACCCTAAATAGTAGTTTCCAATTTCTTTTCCATTATATCTCCATAACCCCTATAAGCTATAGTCTAAACTCCTAGTATCCCCCTTAATAACCCCTATAGTAGTCCCCTATATAACCCCCTTTAAGGAGCTTAGCCCCTAAACCCTAAACCCTAAATCCTATAACCTCCGAGCTCCTAGCCTGGCAGTGCGCCGGCTTCTGGGCTGTAGACCACGGCAAATTTTCCTTGATGGAGAAGGAGGGGCGGGTTTAGGGTTTAGGGTGGAAGTTCAGCTTACTATTCCTTATAGCAAAAAAATAGGTATATAATTTTTGGGGCTGGGGCTTAGGGGTTAGGATTTTACTAATTTTGGGGCTGGGGTTTAGGGTATAGGATTTCATTATTTTCGGGGCTGGTGTTTACGGTTTAGGGTTTAGGATTTGGGGTCTTTGGGGTGCCTGCTCGGTTCTCATTAACAAGCTACAGGTTGAGTAGCAATCATAACGTACTGGTTAGGTCGCTTTAGGGATTCAGGTTACTTTAAGCTCAGGGCTTAAGAGACTTAAATCCCAACACTGAACCCCAAAACTTGAACCCCATAACCCTGAACCCTAAACTTTAAGCCCCTAAACCCTAAACCCTAAACCCTAAACCCCTAAACCCTAAACCCCTAAACCCTAAACCCCTAAACCCTAAACCCTAGACCGACTTGGGTTCAGGTCTCGGCCAGCTTCGGGTTCGTTTATGGGGCGGGAAGTATGGGGTTTAGGGTTTAGGGTTTAGGGTTTTTGGGTTCAGGGTTTAGGGTTTAGGGCTGTTGTAAGAATCGATTCCTACCTTCCTTGCTATAATAAGCTTGGGGCGGTTGAAGGATTGCGGTCATACAGTTTTAGGCTAAAACCTCAACCCTACACAAGCTTTAGGGTAGCGCGAGGCCAGGGGGCTAGGTACTCATTTTATGTTGGCTGGCTATAACTAGTTATATAATTTTGGCCGTTCCCTACCTATGTTACTATCGGTGTCTTTAGAATTTGGGGTGCCCTGGAGGACTCCAGGGCTCCGGGGCCTCGGGTTTGGGGTGTAGGGTTTGGAGTTTAGGGCTTATGGTATGTAGTGATAAGGAACCTCAATAACCCTGGACCCTAAATCCGCCTAAACCCTAGACCCTAAACCCGAAAACCCCAAAGCCTAAACCATTAACCACAAGGGGGCCCCTGCTTGTTAGGAATGTTCTCGGCAACTCCGGAGGTAGTCCGAGCGCTTCTTGGGAGATATGTGGAAGGTTCCCCAAATCTAAAAAAAAAAAAAAAGGTGCTTAAATGTGCTTAAACTCACAATCTTTAGGATCAAAGGTAGCCCACGAAATCCTCAACCCCCCTCTAACTTCTAAACTACGTGGCACTTAGGGCCCCTACTGAGGGTTAACCCTTAGGTACCTGCAATAGGAGTATAATGGAATCCCAAGGCGTTGAGAGTCTAATGTCCAAGCTAAGTCCCAAGGAGTAAAACCTTAAACCCTAAACCCTGTAACACTCCATTATAGTAGTTTCCACTTTATGTTCCATTACCTCTAGATATTTCGAAACATCAACCAAGTCACCATAGCCCACCGAAAAGAAGTCGGATGAAGCGAAAGTTCGACTCTCGGCCCACAAAGCATCTTTCCTTATGGTTTGGGGTTTAGAGCCAAGGCTTTGGGTTTAAGATTATCGCTTCAACAACAAGACCTGCACTCCCCCAAAATAACATGGAAACCCATATAGTCCCCTTCTAGAAGGACTGTAGTCTTTATAGGGCCCCTTTTGGGTTTCCATGTTAGTTTCCGGGAGTGTAGAACTTTTGGTTTGTTCTGGTTCTCTTTAGACCAACTCCGAGAAATGCTTAGGGATGTGTCACACTTAGGGTTTAGGGTTTAGGGTTTAGGGTCTATAAAACCTCTGAACCCTAAACCCTGGGCCCTGAATAGGGACCTTATAGCCCTCTTATCATCCCTATCACCTGATCATCCATATGTGCCTGAGCAACCCCCCCCCTCCCACCTACTATGAGAAACCTCATATAGGGGGTTACCAAAAATTTGGGATACCTTTTTAGAGAATCCCCATAACAACGATTGTAGTATTTGGGGGTCTATATTGGGGTACCCTATTTTTGGAAAACTACCATGTCACATCATGACCCAGCTTCAGCCAGGACATGCCACGGATGGACCAAATATACCTTGCTGGTGGTTGGCAGGAAGTTAAAGGATAGGTTCAGGTTGGGTACTCCCCCACCCGTTAACAATCCATAGCAGTGGGCTCTACGTGAGCTATAGTCTGAACTCCGAATATCCCGCTTGATAACCCCTATAATACTCCCCTATATACAGGAGTTTAAACTCTAGTTCATTAAGTTATGAATATGTATATATGTATATATGTACATACAAATATGTGTATACATAATCTATAATCCAACTGTTAGTGCGTGGGGCAATGTCCAACGCTCAGGGATCAGTGCTGAAGATTCGTGAAGTTTCTATTGCTAATCATGTGTTGACTACTTCTAGGATCCATTCCTCGGCTCTCTTGAAAGTGTGATACAAGCCCCCCAAACCCCAAGGACATGTAGAAATGCAACCTTCTTGGCTCGCGAAGGCTTTGTGGCCCATATCTTTACCTCGTTTGAGGCTCAGGTAGACCCTAGAGAATGTAATAGTCTCTTTCCCTTGTCCATTGGAATCCCCCCCTGGTAAACCCTAGAGAAGGTAACAAACTCTTTCCCTTGTCCATTCTAATCCCCCCCTGAACTCTAAACCTAAACCCTAAACCCTGAGTCCAGGATGCTCACCACGAGCGAGTTGTCGGCCACAATGCAGGGTACATCCTCCCCGGTAGTCAGGCACGAACTGGGTCTGCCTGGGGTGTGCCTCAGCCGGAGCGGAGACTCGGATGTGTTAAGCTTAAGGGTTCAGGGGCTATGAGGTTTAGGGTGATATGCATTACAGGGTTCAGGGATTAGGGTTATATATGGGTGAAGCAAGGGCTACATGCAAAATGCAATGCAAGCCGCGATTCTCCAAGCATGGGTGCCTATAATGAGGATTATAGGAAAATGGGGTCTAGAGTGAGGCGCCTATTCATTAGAGCTCGTATAGGGCCGGGGGCGATCTGGATTGAACGGAAGGTCAAATTCTTTCAATTTTTCAAGTGTATCCAGGTACGGGGCGTGAAGGGCGCTCAGCACGATCAGCATCAACATCCTCTCGAAGTCGTGCTGGAACATTTCCCCTGGCGCGGCTCGCTCGTATCACAGCGTTGGCCTGAAATCAGATGTTGAAAATTAACAATTTAGAGTTTAGGGTTTAGGGCAGCATTGTCTTAAACAATCTTGGTGGTACAGAAGGAATCGCAAAGGGCCATGGGAAACAGAACCACCAATAGGCTGTTTCCATAGATAGGAAGACCCCATGTATCCTAGAATGCTTATTTGCTTCTTATGGGTCCAGAACCAAAAACAAACAGGTTCCCCCAATGCCTGGAAACCGCCAAAGTCTAAACTCCTAGTATCCCACTTGATAACCCCTATAATAGTCCCCTATATAACCCCCCCTTCGAGGAACTCTGATGATGGTTTTCCAGTTCTGCCAGCAGGCTCTTTGTAAGGCCTCACCACGCAACCTCTGCCTCTCCTGCAGTTTTTCACAGATCACAGGAGGTTTGGGGTTCAGGGGGACAAACCGGCTACACATCATCATGCTAACAGGCACTGCCGGCATGTTCTGAAAACCCGTAGACGCTGGCAAATCAAGAACAAATCATCCCTGAAGTTGCGTGATCCGTAAACCCTAAACCCGAAACCCCAGAACCTGAACCCTAAGCCCGAAACCATAAACCCTGAACCCAAAACCCTAAACCCTGAACCCTAAACCCTAAATCCTTAACCCTGAACCCTAAACCCTAAATCCTAAACCATGAACCCTAAACCCTAATCCCCAAAACCTGAGCCCCAAAGTCTCCTCCGCCTGCGTCACCTCAGCCTGTGTTAGCTCAGCGTCGCGCTCTTGCACTCTTGCCTGCGTGGTTTGGGGTTTAGGGGTTTGGGGTTTAGGGGTTTAGAACACAGGGGTTTAAGGTTTAGGGGTTTAAGGTTTAGGGGTTTAAGGTTTAGCGATGAAGCACTCTTGCCTGCGCCTGCTCGCTGGTACGCACTTGCCTCGCGGCCTGGTGCAATGTAGGAGCAGGTCCCACAGTGACAGAGAAAACCTTAGGGGTTCAAGTGTTAGGGTTGAGGGCTTCGGGTTTGGGGTTTAAGGTTTAGGGTTTTGGGGTGGCTGTGGGGTATACTAATACAATTATTTGTCATGTAGGGGTTATAATGTTAGATCCCGTTTAGTTTTGGGGGGAACTTAATTGTGCGAAGCTTTGCGTAAATTGTTCAGCACCCCCTGTTTCGTTCTGGGGCCCTTAAGTGTGCAAAGGTGCGCGGCCCAAAAAAGTAATTCTGATAATAATTCAATGTAAACCCTTCTAATTGCCTTCTAAGACTCTTCTGATCTATTACCGAGCCGATCCTGATCC